TGACCCTTAGGTGCAGTCTGCAGGCATTTCCCAAACATACAAGTCAGATTGCTGGCACAGTGGGTATCGTGGCGACAGTATTCTCCTTCTTGCTTAAGTGGCCTGCAAATCTCAAAGTGGAGGTCACAGAAGAACCCCAGTGGACAATCAGTTTCGGGACTGCACACATTTGACTATGTACAAAAGGGAAGGAGAAAAATATTCAGTTAGGTGCCCCACTAATACGGAACTGCTACACTTTAGAATCAGTTTCATACTCATAAATGATTGGGACAGGAAATATTATTTGGTAAAGAGGCCAAAGCTAATCACCAAAACTGTTCACATTGGGGAAATCTGTCATATTTTTTGTCATAACTGGTTTCAAACTGGTTTCAGTTCTAATAGTTCTTAGAACAAACACTTAGATTAATACTGTCAAATAAAATCCAAAATTACTTCATATAAAGGCCTCCAATTAGGTAATGATGGCTGGGATTTGAAGTTACAAATTATGAAAAACCAGAGCAAATTCAATTAAAATATTTTTTTGGTTAAAAAAGCAGTAATTATATAGATTCCAACACCATGCTAAACCACAAATCATGTTTTACAAGTCCTAATACCCGAGTACAGGTTTAGCAAGTGCGTGAACCAAGTCTTATTTCCTATAAAAACAAAGGTTGGTTCCTGAGGAGAGAAAACAATTGGATTATAACTCTGTTGGGACTATAGGGTTATAAAACATGTGGAAGCTTTTGAGAACTCCAGATATATTCCTTAGACTAAGTGGCACAAAAACAGGAACTTGAGCAGTCCTTCCTAGCTTGATATCTTAGTGCAATGTTTCTAGGTCTCATGCTAGCTGAGAAATTCTGGGAGTTAAAACCCACCTGTCTGAAAATTGCTGTGATTGACAAACAATGGATTGGATTATAATCCATACCATTTCCTTACTAGCGTTACCAATAGCCCTGGAGATTACTCTGGTGGAAGACATAAAATGCAATGCTTCTACAGGACATGAAACTGGAAAATATTTTTCTAAACATTGAGCAGGATGAGATGTAGGTTTTTACTTACCATTAGCTCTAGGCTGGATGAAGGTCCAGGGTCTGCAAGAGATGCTAGTTCATTGACACTGTAACCAGGCAAAGTATATATCCAGGCCCATATGTAGCTGTGTGCTGTGGGCAAGAAGCAGAGAAAAGCAAGGAGGCAAAACTGTTTTCCCATCATTATAGCAGCCTTGGTTAAAGCAGTCAACAAGGATGGAGATACTCTCAAGCAAACCTGGGAAAGTTTATATACCCTATCCTATCTCAACCCCTGCTGTTAAAGCTGTTTGCCAATCTAATGGGTAGGAGGAGGAGGTGGTGGTAATCAGGAGTAAGGAGCTTAGCATAATGACTTAGGGGGTGCCACTTCAGGAGCAAAGGAAACCCATGACTCCCTGGGGGAAAGGCAATACTTTCTATCTCCACTCTGGAAACTGCTCCGCCAGCAGCATTAAATGTGGAATAAAGAGTCAACATCCTAAATCAAGAGTAGTGGGGCAGGGAGGAAGGGGGAAGAGAAGCAGACAGACTTATAATTTACAGCTGAAATGTTGGCATCTATCTTACAAGGTCATTTTATTTGTTAATACTATGCACGGGCACATGTACATACACATTATTCTTCCTTCTTTCCAAACTGTGCTGGTACTCTTAAACCCTTTTTAATGAAAATATAAATAACATTCTGGCTACACATGCAAACTTCATGCTTCGGTGTTAACTTTTCCGCTGTCCTTCTTGCACCCCAAATTCCCATCACTTGCATTTTGTAACAACTTTTTAAATTAAGTTTCAGAGGATTTCCAAAGATGACCACAGTTCAAAAATCATACTGGTCCTGGTACAGGGATTTGGGAGAAGAAACAAGCTAATGATATATTATGTGTTTTCTGACTATTGGTTATGAAAGTCCAAGTTTCAGGTCAAACCTCTCCAAACAGAGATAAAATTTTCTAGAATGCAGATCAAATTTTCTTCTCTCTAAACTGTTGGTTTAATTTGGAAAAAGACAATAAATTCTTCAGGTCAGAATATTCTTAGGAGCCCTTTAGTCTTAATCAGGAGCTGGAACCCTGTGTGTGTGTGTATACACACACATATATAATTTGCAATTGGTAAATTCTGAGTTTCAAATACAGTGCAATAGAATAATACAATACAGTAAAATTAAAGCATATACAAAATCTAATAAACCTAAAGTTTGCCAGTTCTGTGCCAGAACATTAGCCCCAGACATCTATTTTATGGAGTGTCTCAGGGTTCTATCTTTTCCCTATTTTTATTTTATTTTATATTTACATGAAGTCACTAGGAATGAGATATGCATGGTAAGGTACCATCAGAATCCTGTTGTTCCCCAGCTGTACGTCTGTCATGTGGACCAACTAAGGGAGGCTGTTAAAGTTGTTTCTCAGTGCCTAGGCTCTGGCAGTTTGGCTGGGAGAAGAATAGCTTTCAACTGAACCCTAAAAAGGTCAAACATCTACAGTTGTGGGTATTAAAATGTGACATATCCAAAGATTTCTACCTTTCCATCTACATAAGGCTGTACTTCCCCAGTTAGAGTTGATGCATAATTTGACAGTCCTCTTGGACTCATGACGTGACTGGCAATAGTTTTCCATGAATTTCGGCAACATTCTTTCCATTACTAGTTGGTGGAATTACTAGGGACTAACACAAAATGTATGCTTGTAGTCTTTCTCTAAAGATATGGCTTCTTATGTATAGAACTTATCTTTGGATCTTATGTCAAATATGACTCAAATTCCTAGATATACGGTATGGGACTTACGAAGTTGGACAAGTTCAGATCCACCATTAGCCACAAAAATTCCTGGCTGACTTTAAACCAGTCATTCTTTCCTAGCCTAGTTTATCCTCCAGCTTATTGTGAGAAATTGGAAGAGGGATTGCTATGCATGCATGCTGCTTTGAATTCCTGGAGAAAAAGCAGAACACCATTAAAAAATCCAAACAATCCTCTTTAGGAGAAAAAAATAATTTGATTTCCAGACTACTGCATTAAACTCATGTGAGGCAACTATAAGTCCAGCTATGTGGCTCCTACTTCATTTAAGTTGACCATGCGCATAACACATTTATTTCTTCAGCCAATAGAGGTTCATAATATGGAAACTTCAATGGGAAATGTTTTTGGACTGTACAAAATTGATGAAAATTTGCCACATATGTGCTCATGAATATAGAGTTAATTTTTCTATATGAAAAATACACGAGAGAAGGAGAAAATTTCAAAACAGTGATGGCTTTCTGTTTTCATTTATAGATATTTTTTACTAAGTATATTTCAGTGGTTTTATTTTGAGGTTTTAATTTAATGCCTTGTTGGCTAAGATGATGGCAAATGTATATTGGAGGGCAGTTCTTGCAGGACTCACAAATTATGGGGGCTGTCAAGTTTTGGAGACAAGCTATTGTAATCACTAATCAAACTTACTCCTTTCCTTGCCTATTCTGTGCCAGCAATTTAAATTATCAGTTTATGTCCTTAGCTGAGATCCATCAATCATCATCTCCACTCTGCTATTGGCAACCCGACAGACCCCATTTCTAGATATATTGTAATTGATGGTGAACACAATAAACAAGCAAAACCCCTTAAAGATTATTGGATATTTATGAAACAGGATTTCATGGTCTGTTCCATGGAAATGCAAATACCATTGCTGAATAGTGTGTATGTTTTTGGATAAATGTGTGAATGTTTATACAGTTCTAAACCGCTCTCTTCACACAGCTCATCTCCTCCCAGTGATGGTTTTAGCACCTTCCTTAATGGAGTTGTAAATGGGATTATTTACCTTCCTGATGTCTTTAGCATTTTCTCCCTTGGACAGTTTGGCCCTGCTGGGAAGGAGATTATGGCAGCTTTGGACAAATAAGCAAAAATAGGTGCTCTGGTTGCCTGGAGCCACTCAGAATGGATTCCTCTGAGACTTCCTGAGCATATCTTCTACAAGATTTGTACCATAGTGAACATATGTTGACACACACACACATATATTTCTTAAACAGTCAGAGAGCCAGGAGTGTTTTTATGGCCAGCAACACATTCTAACATTCCTTCAGGAATGCTGGAAACCGAAGTGTCTTCTGCTTTCAAAAATAATAAATTATGTAGTCCCACTAAAAAGCCTAGTTGGTATGAAACTAAATTGTATTTAAATTAATCAGATATAAAAGAAGACTTATAATGCATGCACAGACACATGCATCTGATTATAGTGCTCTATCTAGAAAAAATATCTCCAAGAAATGAATTCATACAAAGCAAAATGTTTGTCTTGAGGACAGTTCAGAAAACAATGGAATGGAGTCTATAATTTAATAAAGTTACATAGCCTTGTTATTCTCGTTCTGATTTACAAACAACAAATGGTTGTCCTACAACCATTTACCTTCTAAGGGCTGGGATTGTTCATTTCACATACATCATGCTAAGAATGCATAGGCATGACACATAATTCATGGTCATCTCAACAGTACTTTATTTAATTAAGGCAGTTTTCGGGGTGTCCATGATGCAATGAACCATCTACAATCATGGGTGTGCACAACACAGTAGGCTAAACTAAAGTCTGGCTGAATAATAATTGGTTCAGTGAATCCAGTAAATCCAACATATAGCATGGTTGCTTATTCATGGTTTATGAGAAAAATTACAAATGGTTGAACTCTCACAAGGTCTTTGTGAAACCCCATACTCTTCTAATACCAAACAAACAAACAAACAAAAAGCAACCTGACAACCCCAAAGTATGTTTAGGTGTAGTATGATATGTGAGCCCATTATTGAGCAAAGAACAACTCAGATTTTCAAAGTTTGCACATCTTCCTGTCCATGTATTTGTAGCCCAGGACAAAGAAAAGAGATGCATCCCCCCCCACCACCACCACCATTGTTGATTACAAAGAAACAGCTAAGGCAGGGCCTGGGAGATGAAGTCTGGGCCCCCTGCATTAGAGAATCCAAAGGACTTTACCCGGAAGCTGAAGATTGCAACTAATGCAGCTGTGCACATTGCAGCTAATGCAGCACCTTTGGAGCCATGTGTAACAAATTCAAATGAATAGGCTCCATGTGTGTTCAGAAACATCCCATTTTGTCACAGCCATATTTTACACTGACAGGACTTCGGACTATTCCAGTGGACAAAGTAGAGCCAATACATTTGAAAACTATCCACTTATACATTGACAGACGAAGCTTGTCCTGGAAGCCTGCAAAGTGGCCACATCGTATAAAACACAGCTTCCAGGAAGCCAGGTTGGAAATTATAAATACTAGCCATAAACCATGATCTCCAAACTTAAGCCAGAACTAAACAAATTATATTATGGTTTGAAGAGTCACACGAACCAGGCTATTGTCCCTACTAATCAAATAATAGTTTTGAGAAATAGATTTTCCAATTTCTCTCTGAGAAGTATTATATACATAGAAAGAAGGGGGGGGGAAGGAAAGGGAGGCAGGGAAACACTAATATTAATTTGGAAAACTGGTTTGATCTACTTCTTTTATTTTCTTTAACTTTCAATTCAGCACTGTTTATATATTATTGTCAGCAATTCCTGTTGTTTCTCAGATCTTGTTAATTTTATGTACAATCAATTTATCCTGTTCAGGAAGGAACACTTTGTCTCACAATGTTTTTGCAACATACGCTGCTAGAATTATGATTGGAGACATTAAAAATTCTTTATAAAATAAAAAAAAGTACAAGGAAATAATTTTGCTCAGTAATAGAGCTTTTCTCAGTAGTTTTAGGTATCTGTGGTTCAAATCTGGCAATTTCCTCAAGTAAGTATTTTAAACAAACCTACAATTAGTCTGAAGATGTTGCAATGTTAATTACATTTTATTTAAAAAAGAAAGATGTTGACAATGTTAGCAAACAAAGTGGTATGTAAACCAGTGTTTTGGGTTATTTTTACTTCTGCCAGCATTTGTTTTATCAAATGAATGAGATCCAAATTCTATTATTCAAACTATGTACATGTCATTTCCATTCTGACTACAATTAACAAGATTTTAAAATTTGTTTGGAGAGAGGCAATCTATTGAGAAAGGGAGGAATGTGTTTACTCTATTTTGCCCTTTGTTAAGCTGCTTAAAATGATTGCATCTTGGGGTTACAAATAGCAGTTTGGAAAGGGATTAATTAATTGATTATGTGCCATTAAGTTGGTGTTGATTCTCAGCGACCCTATAGCTAGATTTTTCCTGGATCATTGGGGCATTTTAATTATTCTTGATATTTCATGTGTCAGCATGAACTTATAACTTGATTCCAAAGGACAAGAAGAATGTAATATTTAAAGGCCATCTTTGAAAGTTCAATTCAAATCAAAAGCTAAAAACAAGGATGAATCTGGTTGAATCAGGACTAGCCTAATCTGCAGGAGTGGGACCAAGAGGCCCTTGCTTCTAAAGTTGCATTTTCTTCAAGCCAACAGAGAGGGAGACAGTCTACTTCAGGGAGATAGAGGCCAGGAGGGGAGAGAGGGAATGTGAACTGACTTCTGATATCTTGAAAATTGCAAGACAGCAGGCTTGGGACCAGAATCCAGGGCAAGGCAGATCATGCTGCCTGTTTAGTGGAAACAGAAAATAGAATAGGACAGTTCCCTTGCATAAAATCCTTTTGTTTGTTTTTTTAAGATATGCATTTATGAACTAGTTTATATTGAAGTAAATCCAGTTTTGTGTTGGTGAGTCTGACTTAATTTGATGCAGGAAAGTTTGCAGCCTGGACTGGGGTAATAAATGCTTGGGAATAGGGGGTTGGAATTAGAACCAACAGCCTGATTCTACGCCAGGGCAAAGAGTCATCTGGGAAAGGGAAGCTGGAGGAGAAAAGAAAGAGGTCAACCAAATCATTTTGGAATGGCTCATTTCAGTGATAGGCATATTTCCCTGGAAAGACAATCACACTGAATTCAGTAGATAGAATGGAATAGGAATAGGAATAGAATAGGAGTAGAATAACAGAGTTGGAAGGGACCTTGGAGGTCTTCTAGTCCAACCCACTGCTTAGGCAGGAAAACCTGCAGCACTTCAGACAAATGGTTATCTAATCTCTCCGAATAGCTTAGTGAGAATGAGGTGTAGGTGAATGTTATAAGATCCAAGTACATGCAAATGAAAGAAATCACAGTGTTATTAAAATGTACTAGAAATGGATTATAATAATTATCATTATTATTTCTTTCAGTGTTACTCTGAGGTAACAAATAAAAAGGCACTGATTAAAAAATGAAAACCAACATTTTAAGAAACCAAACCCAACAATAAAATCATTCTAGATATCAGCAAGAGAATACATAAAATAAAAATGTAAAATATGAGATCAAAGGAATGTGTATATTATTTTAGTTCAGAAGGGAATTGTGTGTGTTTTTTCTGTGGTGTTGGATAAAGGAGTTTCTTCAGGAGGCAGTTTTCAAATCTTTAAAACCAGGCAGGTTCATAACAGGACAAATGGCTCCTTAGATGGACAAGGGCTAACCTGTTTATAACTAGTGATCCACAAAGAACACATTCAGGATCCAGAGGGAACACATTCAACACATTTACTGCTACTTTTTGCTAGTAGCAGTAAAAAAAAAACACAGAAAAGATGGGTGTTTTCCATTGGACCTTTTCAAATTAGGAAGATTGAACTTTATGGCATCTAGAATGATAAAAAGAAACTTCCGGTTTGAAGGGCTTTGGCAACAGAAATCTGCGATCGTGTACGGTTTCTGTCTGGGCTCGCCGCTGGAGCGCCCCGAGCCAGCTGGTTTCAGGGCTAAGCCACCCCATAGAGGTGGTGAAGAGGGGGGAGACTGCCAACAGGGTTGAGGAGAGCCACATCTCTCCTCCTCAGCTGGCCATTACTCCCTTCCCCGAAGGCAGTTGTAGCGGTGGTCAGAAATGGCCAACACAAAGGAGAACTCGACCGGAAAAGAATGTGCAGGAGGAAGATAAGAAGTGAAAGTTTTGGCTGACCGGGTTAAATTGTAAAAGCAACAACTAAGGTTCCCTGGAATTTAAACTTACAAAAAATAACATCGCTCCCAAAGAAGAGTCGGAAGCAGCGAAGGAGAGTGAAAAGGGAAAGGTTTGGCTTTTTTTTCCTTCTCTCTCCTTCCCTATACTGACAACTAAGAGACTTAAATAAGAAATCAGAAAAATCCATTTTGACATCAATAGGCAATTAAGCTGAAAATAAAACAAAATGCCAAAGGGATAATAAAGATTTCTGGACATTTAAATTTTTCTTTTTCATAAGCAGGAAGGGAGAGAAAAAGAATAAGGGCAGGATCTGGAAGAGGGAGGAGACTGCCTGGAATTAAAAAGAATGTACAGTAAAACTTCAACAAGACTTCTAAAAGATACATTTTAACTGAAACTTTGCAACTAAATAGTAACCCCAGGAAGAGAAAGTGAAAAAAAAGAGCAAAAAAGAAACAGCTTGCGTGTATTTGGATTATTTGGTGATCTTTGGATTCTTGGTTATTATATTTGAATGACTAAAATCAATCGGGTGGTTGTTTAAAAATTTATACAATGACACCACTTCTGGATGAATTGAAAATGGAACTTAAAAAGTACAAAGAAGATGTACAAGTAGGGAAGGGTTCTTTTGGCTTCGTTTTTCAATTCTTAGAAATTGAGATTTCAAATTATGAGAAACAACAAGAAAAGACTGCAAAACAAGAAGACTGGGACAAAGAAGAAGCCATCTTTAATGAACAAGCAATTTTATGTGGGGAAGAAAAAGGAAAGGGGGGAAAGAGAATGGAGAATTTAAGACTTAAAAAAACAACCAAAGAAAAGAAAAATAATTCAAAAAATAAGTATAATACTGGAAAGCAACAGAAAAGGGGAATACAGAAGAGAGAAATAGAGGTAGAGAGACAGATGGGTATAAAGGGGAGAGAGAAGAAGAGAGGGAAGAAGGAAAGGAAAAGAAACTTCCCAAAGGAGTGGAGCAAGATATAGAGAAACAGGACCTATTTAGAGATAATGGGTGAAAATCTAACTGAAAAAGGGATTCTGTAAAGGTACATAAGATTACATTGTTATATTAGTAATAGAAATAACTTTAGAAAATTGGAAACAACATATGATTAAAATGAGGGATAAGATAGTGTAATTTAGTGAAATGTTTGTGAATAAAATAAGAGAAATAAAATAAATGAGAAAATTGAAGGAAGGAACGGGGACATTTTAATTAGTTAATGTTTTATAAAATATAAGTGAAGAGGGGGGAATTAACTATGGAAAGCTTATAATTGTTCCCATAGAAATATGATATTTAATTGAAAAGTAATGTTAAAGATGTTAAGACTTTAATGAATATTAGTATTAATGATAGAATTGAATTGGAATGGAATATTGTTTTAATTATATACATTTATAATTTTTTCTTTAAGAATACAGTGTGTATTTTAAGAATGCACCAAGCAGAATCTGAATGGAAGTTATGTATTATACTGAATGTTACAACTTTAGGGAGAAGATATAAAGGTGTCATACTCCAATCAGTAACTACAGAAGATATTTTGTTTAATGAGAAAAGATAATAGATAATTGAAACAGGACAGACAAAAAATATAAATACAATGATTTGAATTGAGATGAGATAATTAAAATAAAATTGAGAAAATTAAAAGAGGGGAGAAGCTATGCAGAAAATGTAAAATAGTAATAAGATACATGAACCTGAATTTGTGTCTGTACGAAGAAATGTAACCCGGGATTACGCTACTTTCAAAAAAGATGCTTTATTTGTATTTTTTTTTTCTTTGTGAAAACTCAAATAAAATTTACAAAAAAAATGATAAAAAGAAATTAGACATTTCTGGGGTCAAGATACCAGGTGTGACTCTGAGGTTGTGTTCACACAACACACTGAAATACCAGTATGGTCAGATTTATTTCAAATGTAGCATGTAATATGTATGGTCCAACTAATTGTAACTTATTCAAACAACATTTATTTATTACCTTTCTAAGCCCACCGAATACTCCCGCATTAGGTATGCAATATTAAACTGTTCAAAAC